TGTGTCTGATGCCTTCCCAACATGCAGAAACTGCTGCTCTGTGCCCTAGGATTTACTGGCAGTGCTGCCCATGCATGTCATTGCTGGTGTCTGGGGCTGTCTCTGCTCCAGTGACTGTGGTGACTAATGTGGTTTGCTCAAGTTGGTTCAGACACTGGTCTTAGGCAAATAATGCAGCAGAAAGCAGCTAATCAAGTCACTGGATTTTGTGGCCCACATAAAATTCCAGATTACTGGCCCATTTAGGTTGCTGCTTGCAGCTATGTGCTGGAGCCACCTACTTTTAGGTTGGCTTGTGAGAGACCTTGTGTGTCTTTGTTTATCAGTATCTGACCAGAGGTATCAAAGTGTCTGAGTTTAGAAACCATCAGCTTCTGTCTTGAGTTTTTTGTTCAGCTTGAATGGTTTCCCAGAGTAAAATGTAAAAATAAGATCTTGCTCTTAACTCCATCTGGAGTTGCTGTTCTTCCCAGTAAAGCCAAGTGATGGTGTGTTACTCACTGTGGAGTTACTGATTTTGCACTAAAGAGGCTAAAGAGCTGCCAATTCCTGAAGCACTGAAGTTGCATCTCTGCTTGGGTAGTCTGATCTCGAGCTGGGTGGAAGGACCAGCAAATACATAGAGCTTTTCCAGCTTTCCCTTGCTTTCCAATACTATATATATAGTATAGAGTCTATAATTCTTTTAAAAAGGGAGCCTGTCAGCAGCACCTGATAGTAGCCATAGTGCTGTGTTTGAAACCTTCTGTCTCTGGGTCTGTATCCTGATGATATGGCCTTAATTGCTTTTTGCAGTGAGTTTGGATGTTTGTCTTTGGAAACTGTTGCTTCTTGATTAATTGATGGACATTGAGACTGGCACTTCTCCTTCTAGTGCTGTGCTTATGATAGAAATTCTCAAAGTACCTTACTTTAACCTCCCAGACACTTCGTACTTCTTCATGGGGTTTATATCCATGTAGAAATGAATTTGCCAAGACAAATGAATGCAGTTATTGACTGAAGCAGCTGTTACCTGCTGCTATTGAACAGTTAGGAGAGGGTTAAGAAGAAAACCTCTTCTGAGCCACTAGATTGGCCCTGACTAAGATGAATGTCTAATTCACTCCCAGCGTCCTTACTGCTGCCAGTAATAAAAAGCTTGCTTCACATATTCACCCCACTGCAGACGTTTCTCTTAAATTAAATATCAAGAGGACATATAATAGCACGATTCCACGCCAAGCCAATATTATCAGATTGATGTCAGCAGTGATAATAGAAGAAGGATAAGTTGATGAGATTTCATTTATTAAATAAAGTAAGGGGAATTCGCAGTGATAGAAAGGATTTGGTAACTCTCGGTGTCAAAATGCAGCAAGATCGTGCTCATTCTGCCTTACCTCAAGGGATAGTAGAGAGAAGGATGCCCTTTGTTTCATTTTAAGAAAACCTCTCCCTTCTTTTCTAGACAAAGACCTGATTTAAATCTCTCCATGGGAGGGGGAGAGGAAGTTCTGAAATCACAGATTTCTTGTGTATGTGGCCTTCCTGCCCATTGCACACTGACCAGGCAAAGGTTTCTTTCCTTTCTGTGATAGGGGAGGCACTGTTAATGAATTTTATTTCTAAATCCATCTTTTACTTTTTGCAACCTGTCATCCTTTCTCCTTTCCTCCTCCTTTAGACAGATGAGAGTGTGTTTTATTGATTTAATCTTTCCTGTTCTGTATGTCCTGCATGTATTTATTTCCAAAGTATTGTAAGAGCTTGTCTTCCGTACTTCCATCTGCAGATATTGTGCTGTCACTTCCCAGCCCAGCCTTTCCCTCCTGCCTTTTTCCTTACTGCTGTAAATGAGCCTCTTACACCTGTTCTGATAATAGTTGGAGCAGTTGCAGCATATTTTATTTTAGACAGAGGCCAACTGTCTACCTCATTTGGTGGTGACATATGCTTAAATGTTTGACCCACTTCAGGAGAAAGGCCAAAGCATACAAGGCTTCTCATAGTTGTATATACAAACCTCATCCCTTTTCCACCATTTTCCTTTTCTCTTATATGAGAAATAATGGTAAAAACCCTCAGTGGCACGTCAGGAGCAGTGTGATCGGGTGGCCAGAAGATGAATTTTCCTAAGGATTAGTTGGTGCCAACAACCTTGAGCTAGGCTGAGGGTGAAGGGAGATAGTTGATAAAAGTCCACCTCCTTTGGAACTAACCCACAATGTCATTGCATTCTGCAGATGTGTCTGTAGTTGGATGCTGCTGCTCTAATTCCTTTTTGTCTCAGATATGCATGAGGAAAGTCAGACACCTGTAAGGTGCAGCTGTTTGTGCACAGGGCTGCAGTTTCCCCAGTGTGCCAACGCTGCAACCTGAAGCTGAGTGTTAATGTGAGCAGGAGAGTGGCACCCCCTGATTCAGGCTGGGCCGGCATTGTGGCTGCTGTGCAGGGAGGAAAGATCTCAGGCAGTTGTTCACCAGAGCACTTCAGGTACCTCTTTCCAGTCCAGATGGGCACCAGAACTAATCTGCTGGATGTGGATAACTTGTGTACTCCCACATTCCGCAGTAACTGGTATTGATAATTACCTAAACCAACTTTGCAATTTGTTGATTAGTGTCTCTAAATCTGTTTTGAGAAGCTGGTGCAATTGATGCATAACCACAGCTTGAGGTTTTGTTTTGAAGAAATAAAGGAGAATAATCTTGTTATTTTGGGTACACGGTACCAAATAAATCCTCCCTGTGTTGTGGGAGGTGGTGTGCAGGAATGCTGGTTTAAATACTTGCTGGGCAGTGCATACTGGTCTGTGCTGATTGATCCTCTGCCTCTGGTAGGCTTTAGGCAACAATGCTCTTTTTTTGTGGCTTCTTGCTTACCACTGTGTGGCTTTTAAATATCCCTGTGGGCTGAGCACCAAGGGTCTGTTAAGGAAGAGGGCCACAGACTTTGCAGCACTGTCTGAGCCCACAGGGGGGTCCTAACTTCATAATTATTCCAGGCAGTGAAGGCTGATACCATAGGAAGGACAGCGATCTAAAGCAAAACAATTCCTGTAGCTCTCCCTGCTGACAATGATAACCTCTAAATATTTCTATGATGTTTGTACCATGCTCAGTTCAGATGAATACAAACTGGTTTGTGGTGTGCTGTACCTTTTAGCTCTTCCAGGTTTCTGTACTAAAATTACAAAATGCCCTTCAGTTTAACATCGCCGAGTTTAAAAAAAACTAATTTTAAAAGTCTTAACTTTTTCAATGAATTGAGGGATTTGGTGGTATTTCCTGACCTGGTATTGTTTGGTATCATTTCCACAGTCTCACTGATTTGATTAGAGTGATATTAAAGTTAGTGACAAAGCAAAATGCCAACATTATGAGTTTCTGAAGCTCTCTCTGGGTTCTTTTCTATCCCAAAATTTGAAGATTTTTTTTTTAGAATATGGATTTTCGAGGCTTTAAAGGTGATTTGCTATATAACATAGAAATTAAAAATGAACACTAACCCTTAGGGACTGTGCATGGAATAAGTTTTTTCTAAAAGCTGTGAGATTAGTGAAGAGGTAGAAAAAGAAGTCTGTATAGTATCCTTGCTGGTTTCTGATCCAAATCTCAGTGTTGTAGTGTGGCTGTCATTCTGATAAATTCCTACTCTCTCCATGTATGTTGGCAGTATGACTGAGGGCTGAAGAAGTATCAATTAGAGTACAGCTCAACCAAATTATTGGGAGAGTGTGCCCAGGTTGTTGATATGGAAAAATAAAATTGTTCTTCTTTTGGTGCTTCCACTTCTTTCCTGAGCACCTTACAGAGATGTGCATGATTTGGAAACTCATATTTGAGCTCTCCAAAAGCATTTAGATTTTGGTTTAAGATTACTTGTTTTCTTTGAAGTCTGTTCCACCTGAGAGACTGTGACATGCCCAGGGACAGGTCATGTTTTCCTTCTCTCTGCCTCACTAGGAAGCTTTTGTGCTGAATGAGTGCCTGTTGTTCCTGGGGAAATGAATACATCATAGCAAGGCATTAATATCTGCCTGTAGCATCAACTGCTTGGGAAGGAAGAGGTGTGTTTGATATTTGGGCACAGATCTCTAAGCATATTGGAGCAGGAAATGCAAGGAATTAAATGGATTTATGGTTTAGGAGACGACATCTGAGGATTGCTACACCTAAGCATATGTTCTCTTACTCTCTGGTAAAACATACCATGGCCATGGTGCTGTGAGTGCCTGCAATTTGTGTCTGCCTGTCTGTGCAGCTGATGTCACTGTCATTACTGTGTTTGTGCCATTGTTGCTGGGATTGTTTTACAACGACCTTCCCCTTTATTGGTACTGTTGCTGATGATGTGCCATATGTACACATGCACATTAGAGTAAAAGAACATCATCCTTAATTGTTCCTGGGTAGCTGTCAATGCCATTTACTGAGTATGAATACTAATTTCTGCAGAACTACAAAGAAGCAGATATCTGGTCTTGCTATTTTTCTGGGTTTTTTTCCAGTCACTAGGAGAATTGCAGTGCTTCCAACCATGCTGGATTTCTTGTAGTGTTTAAATAGATGAGAATTCAATAGATTGAGGTGGCTCATTCAACAAGTCTGTTCAGTTCCTTGTCAGACTGTTACAGATCTAGTGCAGGCCCAGCCAGGATTTCTTAAGTTCTGCCAAAGATTTCCAGTGTGAGTTGAGAAAATCATTGAAACTCTTGGACTTGGGGATTTTTTTCCCCCTGAATGCAGAGGAGAGATGATGTTTTATATAAGGGTGAAACAGCTTCTACACCAGCTAAGAAAGATCATGTTCCTTCTTTTTGCTAAGTACCCTGGATTTTTCAATTGAAACACCCTGTTGGTCATTTGACCCACTTTGGTGATTGGTGCTCCCACCAGTTTCTCTATTAGGACTACATGACTCCAGCATAAAATTAGTATGTGTGTTGCTGGCAAAGTGGTAGTAAGTGGTTGAAAACTCCTCTTCACACATCATTCTGTGCTTGTTTTCCCTGCAGGAGGAGGAATGCTGATCCTATCTGTGCAAACCTGCAGTCTGAAATTCTGAAGTGCTACCAGGAAAACAAAAGTGAAGTGCTCAAATGCTCGGAGCTGGCGAAGGAATATCAGCGCTGTGTTAGTGCAGCTCAGAAGGTAACAAAAGCTTCTCTGTTGTACTGGCTGGCTTTGCTGTCTTGTTTTGCATGGTGCTTTCCTCTGAGAAGTGTTTTTGAGAGCTGTGGTATCTGTTAGTCAAACTGCAGTCTTCACAGGAGACAAATCTTGCTTGGGATCGGGTTTCCCACATTCATTCCACATTTCCCAGTCACACAGTGTGTCCCAACTTCATTCCTGTCAGCGAGTCCTGTTGTACCAAAACAGTAGAACCAGTGCTCCCAGGTTTCAAAGCCAGTCAATGATTTTCCCTAGTTTTACCTTCTTGGATGTTATATACTGCAAATACTAAGTAAACCCACTTTGACAATGTCTGCAACAGTTTCAACAGGCTCTTAGAGATAGGAGGATAAACTCAGGATAAACATCTCCTGTTATGGGACTTTGCAATTGGAGATCTTCCTTCTTTTCATTACTGCATGGGAAAAGGTTCTGTACTGTGGGCAAAGCTGCTGTCTGTTAAGAAAATTCCATACTCCTAAAAACTCTTCATCTTGTGTAGGAAGCCAGGAAGCCTTATGGCTCTTCCTTCTGAGATGCAGAGTCCCAGTAGGTTCTGTTGATGCCTTAGGACAGTGGCTGCTCAGTACCTTGGAAGAATTTCTGGCTATTGAAACAAATGAAGGGGAAAAGAAAATGAAGTATTTGGACATTACAACTAGGGTATGGTCCTGGGCCATGAGAGAATTCAGTGGGTCAGGTGTCCCTCAAGGGCAGACTTTTCTGGTTTGTTTTTTTGGGTTTTTTTGACAGTAGAAAATTCTCTAAAAGGTGCTGAGCATATAGTAAAGTGGATGTAGGGAAAAGGATGGTAATAGAAAATTGAGACTTTTCTCATGGGATTACTAAAGCAAAAGGTGGGGGAGAGGTGGGTATTTCATGGAAGCAGTCTTTCTCTGCATTAGCATTGTGAGGGAAGCTGTATGCCTGATTTAAGTATAACATGAAACAAGCTGCCAGCCGGCTCCCAGAAGAAGCCCGACAGAAGGAGATGGGAAAATTGTCAGGATATATTAGACCAAATGTTGTTGCTAGTCCTAGTGGAATTTTTTTCCTTCCTGTTTACAAAGAAGGTCTTTGTATGTCTGCAAATCAGCAAGGTTAAAGCTGCCAGGGAAAGGGCTTTTCTCTGATATCTCTAAAGTCCCCAGCTCCCAAAACATGTGGTTTCTTTTTCTTCCCCAGCTTTAAAGTAAAGTGGTGCCTGTGCTGCTGCTGCACAATCCATGCCCCTGGTTGCTGTGTGCAGAGCACTGCTGCATCTATTGCCAGCCTCTCTTATCCTCCTTGCCTCCCCTAAATCAGGCTTGTAGCCTTTTCAGTGGAGTATATCTTTAGCAAATGCATTTACCAATACATCTTTATTGCATGCAGTGCAGGCAGAATGTGATTACCAAAGAAGACAGATTGCATTAAACTTCAGCATATTTGCAAGCTGCGGCTCCAGCCCGCCTGAGAAAGGGGCTGGGATGCTGCCAGCCCCGAGCCCCTGCCCAACATTATTAAAGAGTAAATTGGAAGCTAAATGACTGGTAACAGCAGAGGGCAGTGAAAGATCCTAATAACTTGGATCTTTTTTGGATTTGGTGGAGGTTTTGGTAGGTTTGCTTTATAAACCAAAAGCTGGGGTTGTCTGGTTGTCTTCGTTCCCAGAGTCTTCAATGAACTTCAGAATTTTTTCCCCACTATTATTAGAAACTACCTGGAAGGAGAAGTGCATACAACATTAATTTGTTGTGGATGATGACAATGTGGCAGAAAATCTTGCTATGTTTTAAGAAGGGGCTTGAAGAGACTAGAGAATAGGTAACTAACACCTTGCAGCTAGATATAGGCACTAGAGGGTTCTGCAAGTACAAATTCAAATGCAACTTTTGTAGGCAATATGTCTTCTGTAGTTTCCTTTTGTCCCAGGACAGCTCAATTCCCTGACAATTTGCCTCACTGCTCTTACTGACTCTTCTGACTCCTGAGATTCATGTAGCAATCACAAGCTGTTGTTTTATCATGTAGGATTAAAACTCCCTCCTCCCTTTCCCTTTTTAAGCTGTTATTTTTCTTTAAGTTTAAATTAGCATCTTATACCAAATGGCTTTGTCTCACGCATTCCTCTTTCAGGAAATTCAGGTTGGAGAAATGTGGGAAAGAAAGGCCAGAATCACTTAATTTCTTCCGTATTTTTTACCTTTTTTTTTAAAAACACAATTTGTTTTCCAGTGCAGGAGGAAATGTAATCAAAGTTAGATGTGTGACTTCATCTCACTTGCATGGTGGTGATTTGTTCATTTGCTTTTTACTAAGGATTTTATAAGGCTTGCTGAATATTCTTTAATGAAGCATCTGCTTCTCTGCAAGTTCCTTTTGATGGCTGGTAAAAATGTCTGCAGGGCATGGTACACATTAGACTCAGAGAAAGCCAGCTCTAGATTTCTAGACTGAAAATTACAGCTTACAGTGGATGAGAATGATTCTTTGCTTCTTCCCCTTTACTATGTTTGTTTGAGACCGTTCCTTTGGACACCCATTTCCCTTTCCCTGTTGTGCACATTTCTGTTGAGCCAGGAGCTGAGATACACCCTCAGTTATTTCTGCCCCATGAACAAATATGTTAGGTAATCATGCAATGAGTTTTAAAATGGATTTTCTATTGGTTTTCTGTACAGCTCCTCTTCCTAGAAGAGGTTACTTTATTGTGGTGCATGGTAGAAATATAGCTATTGTTATCTGTTTTGTATATTTTCTGACTATTGGGCCATCTCTTGTAGTCAACAGAGAGAAATAGGCATGTGTAGAGTGTGATGCATCTGATTCTAAAAAGTCATCAGGAACAGGCAGGCTGAATTGCCAGCCAGAGATGAGTATTTCCCTCTGCCTCTTGGGAGGTGCATCCAGAGCATAGACTACAAAGCTGGTGCCTGTTCTGGGATGCTCATGGTTATGGGAGCAGGATCCTGCTCTGGTTGTCTGCCTTTGTAGCCAGTATACTTTCAACTTGCCCTGCCTGACCTGCTCGTGAGCTTTTCCATTGATAGCACCCTGAATGTTGAGTTTTGGGCGCGTCACCGTTGACTCAGTGCAGCATCGCTGTGCCGAGCGTTGACTCATCAGCCTCTTTAAGCTCTGGGTTCCTTCCTGCATCCCCTGCTTTGCTTATGTGGAACTTCTCTGACTTCAGAGGATGTTACTGTGACAGCTCCTGTTTAATTTAGGAGTGTTTTATCTTTTCTGGTGGTCTGTTTCCATGGCTGTGCAGAACTTGAGCTACAGCATAAAAATTGCTGGCTTTAAATCTAATAAAAGCTGGGATAATGGGACAGCTGTAGGAGGGGCAGTTCCCATTGTGTCTCTCAAAATTGCCTGTAGTTTATTGACCGCAAGTTTCACCAAGAACTACTGCTCTCGTTAGATAATGAGAATTGAAAATTGCTGCTGCTGTTTCCCCAAGGTTTTATCTCGTGCCACTGAGAAGGGGGTGTGGAAGGAAAAAGAGAGTGGGCAGCGGAAATCTGTGTAATTTCTTAGATTGGGTCCAGGTGGAGGCAGAAAACAAATGATTTTGTTTTAAAACAAGTCTGAGTCCTATTAGTGAATTGCTTCCCTCCCCTGTACAAATATGCATTCACATGCAAGCTTTTCAGAGGGTTTGTGACCCATTCTGCTGCCCTTGCATTCTGTTCACACCAATAAGCAAATGTGAATTGAAGGCGAATTTTAGTTGGTTACTTTGTTAAGTAATTGGTGGCTGTACCAGGGAATCTCCAGCCAGCTGCCACTTGGAAAATGAGGCCTCCAGTGACCAAATATTAATGTGAGTTGAGATTTCTAACAGAATCTGCTTCCTGCAACTGTGTGCAGAAAAATGTCTGTTAGTGAACAGCATGTATTCCTTATTTTCAGGGGTTTCCTTTCTGTCTCTAGGTGCTTGTCTTCCACAGAAGGACCAAGGTGAAATTTTTGTGCACTAGCTCCTGGCCAAACCAAGCTATCAGGAGCCATGTACTCAGACATGTGTTTTCCCTTGTCAATAGAAGCTGTATACATTGAGCTAGGAGCCATTCATAATCCTGCACTGTTCCTCCCTGTGCTGTGTCCAGCTTCTCACAAATCTGCTATTCATAACAGACAAAGGTAAACCTACTTCTGTCAAGGCTTTAGGGCTTGTCTGTGTAAGGAAATTACAATGCAATAAACTGGTGAGTTTCTCTGTATATGAACATTCAGGGTTTGTAATGAAAGTGCAGGGAAAATGCACACACATTTACTGTGAGTCACTCTGCTGTGTGCAAACAAGCCCTTGCTAAATACTGATTGACTGAATTCCAGTGAAGGGAGACTTTTAACATAACCTTGAGTTGTCTGTATTCTGTTTTGCCCTTGACTATAATAAAAAGGAATATGGTCAATTTATTGTGTTTACGTTTCCAAGTGATCCCTGTGAAAGCCCAGTTTCCTTCTGGCACTCAAAGCATTACACTTCTGCTGCAAGTTTGTCTCTAATCTGTGGGCAGAGACTTAGATTGCTGAGAGGATGCTGCAGGTATTTCTGCAGTTCCCATCCTGTTGGAGCAGTTTTGCTCAAGCACTCTTGATCCTGCTGAAGCGTGGCCTGCTGGGAGCTTTAATTTCTGCAACTTGGATCTAAAGAGAAACAGAGTTGGATGTCATGGGCTGCACTGCAGGTATCTGAGCATTCTGGATCATCAGGCTTTTGCTAAAGTGTTGTTTCCATTCTGGTGCATTTCAGGGTACTTTATAGACAGATTGTGTACTTATCAGGATAGAGAGGAGCAGTCAGTGTGTGGGGCTGGAGAAAGAAAGTTTGAACCAGGTATAGCAAGGTCTGTATCTGTACTGTAGAAATGCCAGGATTTCTCCTCCCCCTGGGATTCTGCAGAGGTGGATCTTGGCTGTTGAAGCCTCATTGAGATGATTATCACATGGTATGCTGCTTGAAATACAGTATATCTAACTTGAAAGGC